CAGTCCCATGCTGGTTCCCCAGCTATCAGTCTGGGACCCAAGAGTTCCCCCTTGTTCCGGTCAGCTGTTTCTGTGGGTTTCACCAGCCTGATCTGGACCCCTTTGCTCATCACTCCTCCTTCTCTGCAACTGGATTCCAGTTCAGTTCAGTGTTTAGCTGTGGGTGTCTGCTTCCACTGCAACTAGCTTCTGGGTGAAGGCTATAAAATGGCATATAAGTCAGTCTTCAATCTCATTATCAGGGGAGGGCATTTAAGGCAGCGTTTCCTCTGTTGCTTAGATTGTTAGTTGGTGTCATCTTTGTAGATCTCCAGACATTTCCCGAGTGCCTGATTTCTCTTTAAACCTAAAATGTCTCCCTCTATTATGGTATATCTTATCTTGTTTTCATCTATTCTTCCCCCTACTCAACCTTCCTGCTCCCTCATGTCCTCTTCACCCCTCCTCTTCTCCCCTTCTCATTCTCCTAGCTCCCTCTCCCCTCCCCTCATGTTCCCAATTTGCTCAGGAGATCTTGTCCCTGTTGTCAAGATTCTTAAACGAATGAAATGTTTACAATGGACTTAACCAACAGGAAAATTCTTGGCAGATGTAAAAGGAAAGATATCCCGATAAGACAAGTATAGAGTGAGAGAACTATAGAAAACAGAAGAGAACAGCATTACCCACTATGTATTGTGTTACGCACAGACTTTGTGAACGAGAAGTTAATAAAGTCCTTGTGGTCACTGATTTGTAAATGGGGAGAATTTGAAGTCAAACAAAGTGTAACATGGTTTTTCCCTGATGACTTTCATTTTTATTTTATGTTAAAGTATTAAGTATTTTAAAGTGTAGTGTTTTAAGAGGTGGGTGTAAGGTACAATTTTATTTATTAATTCTTAATTATTTTAACCTAGTTTTCACAAGCATTTTGCTGGATGTACTGGAAAACACTGACCCAGAGAATTGAATTGAGTAGAAACTGGAGGATAGACCAAATAAAGTGATCCATTACCCTGTACAGAACAATAGAAGTATCATTCCAAGTAGAAATTATTTGGGAAATTGTTTTTTGAAAGATATTGACAAACTGAGGCATGCCACATGAAGAAATAAAAGGAACACAGATGAGCAGGAAGGGACAAATACAGAAGTTCTGATAAGCATTGAGAGGACTGTGTAAAGTTAGTTAGCCTGTATGAAGCCCTGGGTTCGAACTGAGCTTCCAATCAGTTGAATGATACTGGGAATGATAACCTCAGCAAACATGCTTCTTATTATATGCCAAATACTGACATAGATACAAACAGGTCTGTGAAGCAGGTAACGTCAAATTTTTCACTTCATAACAGAGAAAGATTAAGGCATAAAGTTAAAGACATTTTCCAAAGATTGCATGGACAATGAGTAGTAAAATTGAAGCTTGGATTCAAGGGCTGTGAATATAGAACATTGCTTGCTTGCTGTGATTTCAGTTCAGCATGATGCAACATTATTGACTAGGGTGCATTACTCAGAAGTTCAAGATCACCATTTCAGAATGTTTGCCTTCTCACCTGGATGGTACCTAGACAGTGGCTGTATGAACACACTGGCACAGGTTAAGAGAGTTTGGACTCTGAGTAACAGCGCCATGGTGCCAGTGCAAAAGAATGAATTGTAGGCTGGGTGTTGGTGGCGCACACCTTTAATGCCAGCACTTGGGAGGCAGAGGCAGCCTGGTCTCCAGAACAAGTGCCAGGTTAGGCTCCAAAGCTACACAGAGAAACCCTGTCTCGGAAAAAAAAATGAATTGTATGATCTCTTTCATTTTTCGTTCAATGATTTTTAAATAATTTTAATATAATATTTTTAAAATAATTCTACAGTTTGTCTGTGATGACTCTTACATAGAGAAAAGGGATTGGCAGGGATTTTTAATCAGTAGTTTGAAATGATAACCATTTTGGAGCAAGGAAATCCAAGGTTAAACAGTCGTTATTTTGGTGTTAAATTTGTCATTAGGAGTAAGGACTAGAGTACTGCTGGAGTGCTCAGTGATACAAGGTAAAATGAAGTCTCAGTCCAAATCTAGTTGCCTTTCTGTGATGTGGCTAGATTTTTTATTATCAAGGCATGTGCCAAAAAGGGCAGACTGGGAGGACACTTACTTATTAGTTGTATTCTACTAAGGATCCCATGCCATATATTCAGTTTAAATGTTCTTAAACTAAAACCCCCACTTCTTCGGCAAACCAAATGAAAAGTCACCTGTGGAGAAGGTGCTTTTGTTCAGTGGTTCAAAGTATGTACAGAAAGCATGTATAGAGTGTTAGATAGGAAAAAATTCTTAGGTAGATAAGCACATTAGAAATCAAAATAAGTGAAAATTAGGCAGATTATTTCTTTTAAAAACATATAACAAAACATAATGAGATAAAACAAAATGTATCACATTAAAGTTGGACAAGACAAACCAATAGAAAATAGAAAAGAGCCCAGGAGAAGGCACAAGAATCAGAGACCCACTCATCCACACACTCACTCAGGAGTCCCATGAAAACACTATCTGTAAGTCATATGCAGATTATCTGGTGCACACCATTGCTCGTCCAGATCGTGCTGCTTCAGTCTGGAAGATTATTTTTTTAAATGATGTTTGTGCTGTTAGAATAGTAAATGGCAGCAGTGAAAATATCATCTGGGAACTTCATATAAGCTTTATGGCTGACCTTAAAACTGACCAAACAGAATATCTAGATATTTAAGAACTAGGATAAGCAGTGTTATTTGTCAAGTTCAGTAAAAGTTATCTAACATTTTGAAGATATTCGGTCTCATTTCCAGTACTGCAAAGAAAATTCTCAATAGTTATAATTTTTAAAACTTACATTTTAAAACTTTAGGGGCTGGTCTGGCAGTGTTGATGCACACCTTTAATACAGCACTCAGGAGGCAGAGTCAGACAGATCTCTGTGAGTCTGAGGCCAGCATGGTCTACAGAGTGAGTTCCAAGACAGCCAGAACTACACAGAGAGAAACCCTGTCTCAAAATAAAAGAAAGGAAGGAAGGAAGGAAGGAAGGAAGGAAGGAAGGAAGGAAGGAAGGAAGGAAGGAAGGAAGGAAGGAAGGAAGGAAAAGAAAAGAAAGGAAAGGAAAGAAAAGAAAAGAAAAGAAGGAACTTTAGGGGCTGAGCAGTTCAGAACTCTTGCTGTTGTTGCTCAGTAACTAGATTCAGTTCCCAGCACTTACATGGTTGCTAACAACTGTCTATAAATTCAGATCCAGGACAAACAACTCCTCTTCTGAGAGGCTTCTATATGCATGACGTGTGTGTGTGTGTGTGTGTGTATATATATATATATATATATATAATCTCTAGGAATTCAGACATACACAAGAAATAGATAAGTATATTTTAAAAAAATGGAAAACTTTATAAGCAAACTGGATGCAGCCAAGTAAACAGATGGGTATTGACCCAGATCAAAGGTCAGGAGGAAATTATTAGACATGGATGTTGACAAATAAAGGATTATAGCAAGGGAGATGCTAGAGAAGACCCAATGAATAACATGGAAAATGTGTAAGTCTAACACTTAGGTAATAACGTAACTGTAAAGGGAATGGAGAAGGAATGCAGAAAAGATTAGCTGTTGAAATAATGACTGAGAAGATTCTAGAGCTGATTAAAGACTCTAAACCACAACGGGCATTGGTGGTGCACGCCTTTAATCCCAGCACTCGGGAGGCAGAGGCAGGCGGATCTCTGTAAGTTCGAGACCAGCCCGGTCTACAAGGGCTAGGTCCAGGACAGCCTCCAAAGCCACAGAGAACCCCCGTCTCAAAAAAACCAAAAAAGAAAAAAAAAGACTCTAAACCACATCTTCAGGAACCCGCTGAATCCTAAGCTATATATATATGAAGGACAATGAATTTCATAGGAATGGCAATCTTCTCAGTAGTAGTGACACAGAAACTGAGACAAAAGTGGAATAGCATTTCATTGTGGTAAAACAAAACAAAATGAGGACAAACATTCCTCAAAACCTTTCTTATAAAATTTTATATCCACTAAATACTGCTATCAGTATTAAGAGTATCGCTTAAAAAAGGAGATATTTTGAGGCAGAATCTGGGAAATCCATGATCAGCAGACATCTTCTAAAAGAAAACTGTAAAGGCAGACAGAACTGATTTCAGTTGGACAACTGACATTGAGGAAACAATAAAGGGAAAAGCCAATGTGTGTGTCAATCTATCTAATGGTATAGAAAATTACAATTGTGTAGGGTTAAAAGCACACTGTATGATTAAAATGTATGACTCTGATAACATCAATCAGCCAGTGGGTAAATATGTATTGAATGCTCTGAGATGAATGTACCATCCGAAATGAATCATATGTATGAAACTGGGACTTTGAGAGAGGGAAATAGAAAAACAATGGGGCACCATGATAGAATCCAGAGGCCATGATGGCTGGGGACTGCAAAAAGCTTTGTCATCAGTTAGTAAATATAGACTTTGAAAAGCTACCTCTCTGCTATCATGATCTGTATCTGTTTTCTTAACTGTAAATGTGAGAATTTAGAACTAGATGAAAATTTAAAGTCCTTCACTGGGAACCAATGAAGAGGAATTCCTGCAGAAGAAAAAAAGAATCAATAGTTCTTGAAGTGTATATCCCTTTCTTTTTAATTTTAATCACTTAACACTTTGCACTTCCAGCAAACTTTTACATATCTGTTCCAAAAATTAGAGGTAAATCTAGTCTCATTCAGCTGTGTATTTTGCATTACCTTTAAACCAATTTCTTGGTTTGGTTTTGTTAGACAAGGTAGTTGGTGCTAGTAGGTAGTAAGAGGACATTAGCAGGAAAAAAGTTAATGAGCAAAGAACCTTGCTGAGAAACTGTGAATCTTGCTATTCTTTCTTTCTTTTTGATTTATTGCCTAAACAAATTAATACCTTCTTACTATCTCACCATCTCTTGTTGAATTGTTGCCCTACTTCTCTCTCCCTTCTCTTTTCCCAGGCCAATAATAAACCTGAGATCGAAGCAGCCCTCTTCCTTGACTGGATGCGCCTGGAACCCCAGTCTATGGTGTGGCTGCCTGTTTTGCACAGAGTGGCTGCTGCAGAAACTGCCAAGCATCAGGCTAAGTGTAACATCTGCAAGGAGTGTCCAATCATTGGATTCAGGTATTAGGTTTCAACAAAATAATCTCATCATCCCTCACGTTTTCATGACTCGGTCTTTTGTTTCGTGTGCCAGTTGCTGTTAGTTTGTTCCTTTCCAAAGTGGGAGAGAAAGTGATGGTGCTAAAGCATCGATCACTGCTGTCATTCTGCTGATCACAGGGTTATTTTGGTGGACCTGACTCATTAGGCAGATGTCTGTTTCCACCTTCACTCTTTAGCTCTTCACAACCACATTTTTGGTTGGGCAAGACTGAGGACCTGTCTCCACAGAGATATTTGTTTGTCAAGGGCACCCAGATGAACTGTACCTCCTTCTTGGAACTAAAACATTTTTACCCTTGTTTTCTTTTTTCATGGCCTTTTCTGTTTATAGAAATTCTCCAAGAATCAGTTCTAAAATGAAGAGTTGATTCTATTCTGGGAAGACACATCCTGGTAGCTCAGTTTCTTTCTCACTTGGCAGCACTTCTTTTTACCCCTTAAATAACAAGAATTGTTGCAAGCATCTTAGAACTTTCTTCTTTTGCTTTGAAACTGATTCGCTTCTTCCCATAGTATCCTCTTGAAATTCTAAGGGAATAAAAGGTATGCAAGCAAATGCGATTCACAAATCAGCTAAAAACAGAAAACGTTCCTTATAAATGTAAAGGTGAGAGAGATAGGAAATAGCACCTATTATTTTGGTATTCCTAAAATGACATGGAAAACAATTGACTCATTTGGAGGAGTAGGATATTTTTAAATAAACTAACCTAATAATAATCCCAAGTCCTAATTCTGAAATGATGATACATTTAAACATCTGGATCAATATGAGCCTTTCCATACCAAAGATAAGCAACAGGATTATACACTAGCTATGGAGCTTATGCTCCTTCAGAATGAATCTAGCAGCCAAAGTAAATACTCATTTCTAGTTGTGCTTAAATGTGTTTTATGACTTTATTTCCTATTTTTTAAATTTTAGTGTTCTTTTACCATTGATGTTTTTCCTTGTGTACTTCATGCAGCTTTTAAAAACAGCTTTAGAATTTTCTAAAGCCTAGTAAGACAGGTTCTTACAAAATACACCATTTTTTCCTTACTGGTTTTGGGCAGATTAGAATGATACTATAGGGGCCGAGAGGCTGGGAGGGGAGCTGCAGGTGACTGCATTCCATTCCTTATCTTCCTGAGCCAGCTTCCTGAGCCAGTGGGATTTGTATACAACTGTGGAAAATTCTATAAAATAAAAAGTACCATGCTTTGGAGGACCTAAGAGAGGGCTTTAAAAAAAAATCCTTCAATTCTTTTGCCCTTATCAAATTAAATTATTTTAAGAATCAGCACTTCTCTTTTTTTTCCTTATCCCCTCTGAAATGATGGTTGAGATCTAAAAAAAATGCTAGCTTTTCTTCCCACTTTCCCATATGTGACATCAAGAATATGTTTATCTGAATTGGCTGAGGCTCTTATCTGAGAAGGCAAAAATCAAGACTGAAACACGTATATAGTATTCCGAGGCTGAAGGAAAATGTACCAACCAGTATTTGGAAATTAGAAAACCTTTCATTTAATCCAATGCTATCATTGGCTTTTTTGGTGTCATTTTTGGGTAATATGGTGAAGAATTTCTGGGAAGAAGAAACTGTCTAATTGACATGAAGATGAATCATGCCAGCCAGTTACACAGTATATAACTCAAGGATGGGCTATTTTAACTGGAGCTCCTATTTAGATTTCTTATGAGTAACTTTATTTTTGTCATTTTGTGATTATAATTATTTTAGAAAAGTCTTGTCGCTTGTGATAAATAGGTAGCATCAATAATATGTCAATCTTTCACTTTGAAGTTCTTTCAAAGTTGAGTATTTGGTCTTTAAAAGACTGGGAGTTTGCCCATACTTTTCTACTTAACCCGAAAGAGTTCCAATGTAGTTTAAATAAGAGTTGAGTTTTTCATTCTTTCTTCCATATGTTTATGGGATAATCTTTCTGCCAAAATGTTTTGATATTGTAGGAAAGGCATTGACAGTAGAAGTTAATTGCTTTACTATGCAGGACTAATGAACGCTATTTTTCTGTTTTTACAACTGACAATGTGGTAGAGGCTTTCCTAGAGTGTTCTTTGGGAATATGATCTGAAGAAGTACATTAGTGTTTGTTTCTGTTCTTTATTAGGTACAGAAGTCTAAAGCACTTTAATTATGACATCTGCCAAAGCTGCTTTTTTTCTGGTCGAGTTGCAAAGGGCCATAAAATGCACTACCCCATGGTAGAATATTGTACTCCGGTAAGTTAATGACCTCTTGGCATGAGTTCATTCACCTGAGAGGAATTCTAGATTTGCAAGTCATGATTCATTTGGGATTTTGCTTTTTTTTGTTTTATTTTTAAGTTCTACCACCCTATGTGTGTACCAGGCAGGTCCTAATACACATCAAAGATAATTGGTACTCAATAAATAAGTTTTTCTCTTTCTAGCATGGTTGTAGGGAGGACATGTCACATTTCTTTGGTACAGTCTTAGCAATTACATAGGAAGACTGAAGGCCATGGGACATGTTGAATATGGAGAAGAGAAGTGTATGTATTCCTCAAAATGAATACCATACCACATTCTATCATTGTTGCTTACCTTTAGTTTTGTGACATAAACAACTGACATTTGAAAAATGTGTTTTATATGTATGATAATATTTAATAACTCATTTATATGGTAAGTAAACACCTCTTAAATGGCTTTATGTGCAATAGGTATTTTTATTTTTATTTTATTATTATTTTGAGGTGTTGGGCTTTATTAAGGTTTTTTTGTAGTTGTGAGGTTTTTTTTGTTTTTTGTTTTTTTGTGTGTGTGTTTTCAAGTCATGGTTTCTTTGTGTAGCCCTGACTGTCCTGGAATTCACTCTTAGACAAGGCTGACCTCAAACTGAGAGATCCTTCTGCCTCTGCCTCCAAGTGCTGGGATTAAAGATGTGTGCCACCACTGTCCAGTAGGTATTGTTACTCATATCTCCCTTTGACTGATGAGAACTCTGTCATCTTGAGGTTAAAATGACTTCCCAAGGTTCTATAAGTAAGAAGTGGAGAAACTTCAAACATGTCTGAGGAAAACATTCAATAGCTATTAGGATTTGAGAAAAACCCTAGTGAGATGGCAAGGCCAGAGGCTGAATGCTCATACTGAGGCACAGAAAGTATACATGATTGCCCCTGGGAGCTTATCAGGGATGTTCTTCTCAGGCCCCAGCCTGAGTTTTATAAATCAAAATCTGTATTTTAGCAAGATTTACATGGGCTCTGCTCTCCTATAGGGTAATCATTCCAATCTTTACCTGTTTTCCTCATTATTATTCCTCTTACAAAGGCAATCAGTGTTGGAGAGTGCACCATGCTATGAATTGTCTGATTTCAATTGTGAACTCTGATATTAATGTCAAGTAGTTTAAAAAGTATAGGAAAACTAGAAGTTATCCTTAAGTCTTCTATAAACTATCATTCATCAAATAGCTAGGTAGCCTGAATATGTTATTGTCCTTCTTAATATTTACTTATTTTTGTGTGTGTATATGTGTGTGTGGTGTGTGTGTGTGTGTGTGTGTGTGTGTGTGTGTGTAGGCCAGAGGTTAAAGATTGTTGTCTTTCTCTACCCTATTTTATGAGACACAGTCTCTAACAACAACAGAACACAGAAGTCACAAATTGATGGCATTGGCTGGTACATGAGCTCTAGAGATCTCTGCCTTCTGCAGTGCTAGGGTTACAGATGGGTACCACAATGCCTGGCTTTTAGGTGGCTGCTGGGAATCCAAACTCATGCTTATGTGGCAAGCCCTTTGCCAACTGCACTAGCTCCTCAACATTTAATGCCCCCCTTTTAACACTGATACGTGTTTTACAGACTTAAGTATCTCACCCAAGTTAGTAAAGTTTGATTCTATGGTCTTGGCTCATACTTGCTATATTTGCCCTGGTTCTGAAGCAAGTGCCATGAAGATGAAGATCAGGTGGCCGTTTGTTCTTAAATGACACTCTCCTAAAGTTGCTCTCATCATGATTTCCCTTTCAGACTACATCTGGAGAAGATGTCCGTGACTTCGCCAAGGTACTAAAAAACAAATTTCGAACCAAAAGGTATTTTGCGAAGCATCCCCGAATGGGCTACCTGCCAGTGCAGACTGTGTTAGAGGGGGACAACATGGAAACGTGAGTAGTGGTGGAAGCAAAGCAGACTCATTGATACATATTTGAACTCCTCCCAGCCAAATACCCTCCTTCACTCCCAAATGCAAACAGTCTCTTAAAATTTCTCTCTCTTTCAATTTACTTCAGCTGGAAAAAATACAAACAAGCTGATGTTCAATTACATTTTTCCTTGATAGTTATCTTTTCCAAAAATCAAACTTGATCTTACAGGAAGAAAAAAATACTGTAGTCCAAATTGCATTATATGATTTTTAAAAGATATGGGACTGTTTTCAGAAGAGTGATGACAATATTTCATTTTGAGTTTCTTCCTTCACAAATCAGTGGACATGTGTCTTTTTGTATCTAATTGTGTGGTCATATCTAGTCACTCTTTTCCACTTGAGAGAAACATCCAGTCACAGGAATTGCTTTCACAGTAAGTAGAAATGAGTCTACTGGTCGATTGGATGATGTCTTTGCCTCCTGTAAACTTACTCCTATATTTCCCTGTACTTTGATGGCAATCACACAGCTACTTGTTTTGCTTTTCATTCACTTTTATTCAATTTTATTTGGCTGTTGCTTTCCATGATTCATACATAATTTGGTTAGATTTTATTTGTTTCTTTTGACCTTTCAATAATTTCTGTTGCGGCTGAGTTTGCTCGTGTCTCTTTTCACCACCTCATTTTTTTGTTTTGCAGTCCCGTTACTCTGATCAACTTCTGGCCAGTAGATTCTGTGTGAGTACTTTTGCTAAGGGTGCTGCTAACACCGACATTCACTTGCTTGATTTCTCTGTATATTTATTTTTCTCTGTTTTGTTTAAATACATTTTAATTTCCTATTTTTTCTCACCAAAGCTTTGAGAGTGCCACCTGTCACAGGTTACTAAGACTCTGGGTAGGGCTACAGGGCTCTCTGCTGAAGTTGCGGCCAGCAGAAATCCTGGCCTGAGTGCTAATAAAAATGAAAAAAAAAAAAACTCTGCATGTTTTAGCTGCCTTCCTGGAAGACATGTTTATATTTCAGACATTCCTTCAAATATAGGCAAGAATGAGCCTCCTGTTTGGATAATAGCATTTGGAAGTCATGTTTCTGGAAGGGTGTTGGTTTGTTCCTTAGAAGCAGTTCTCACTGGACTAGTAAAAATCAGCAGGGGCGATTTTAGAGGGTGACACTGAGTTTGGTTGATTAATTTCAGCAAAGTGTGTGGATGTTTTCAAAAATTAAGTTATGCCATGCTGTTTGACAAATTTTCCTAAATGTAGGATTCAGACTTCTGCACTAAATGCATTTTTATCTCCTCTCTAAAATACTCAGATCATAAACAGTTATGCCTTTAAACAAGGAGGGAGTATACTATATTCTGTTACTATTACCGGTGTTTATTAATGCCACTAATATTAGATAATAATACACAAATGATTTATTTTAGTTTATATTGTTAGATAACTATTTTGGAACTAGGTATTGTAGTAGGCCCAACTAGTCCTGACTATTTAAAGGCTGGGGCAGGAGAACTGTTTGAGTGAGCCCAGGAGTTTGAGACCAGCTTGATCACCACAATAAGACCTCTTATAATAATATTACCTGTGAAATGTTTTAGAGAACTTTGATATATACATTAGCAAAAAGGATGCCTACATAAAAGCTATGTAGTGTTTTCATATAGTTTTCGTGTTTTACAATATGCTTTATCAAATTTAACTTTGGTAGCTCTATCCTATAACAAATAGTGGCTTATGTAAGAATTTAATTTATTTGATTTTATGGTATCTCATTGTATAATCTAATTGAATCTAAATAATGTATCTTTTTAAAGATATAGAGACAAATATAAGCTATCAATTGAGATATATTTTAGGTTTTTATTAGCCAAAGGAAGTAGACGACTTCTTTTTCTTTTTAATCCCACATTATTGTGGCATTTAATTTTGAGATATCATACTTACAAATAGTTCATTGTCCTTTTCCTTTTTTCCTAATGCTTAAACAATGTAAGAGGTTACTAGATTCAGTTATGGTTTTTGTGTGGTGGTCATTATTTTCCCCAACCTGGGTATTCTGTTTGTAGATGTTAGAGGCCTTTTTAACTAAGAAATTGTGAAACTTGATCTACTGACGTCCTGAGATGGCCAAGTAGATAGATTGACTCTATTTGCAGAAGCTTGACCAGGCAAGAAGTCTGAAAAGTTAGGATTCAGAAGAAATTGTTTTCTTTCTTTTTTAAATCATTTTTATTTGAATTAGAAACAAGATTGATTTACACAGAAGAAATTTTTTAATGCTTAGCTAAAAGTAACAGGAAACAGTTCCTTGAACAGAATGGAGAAGATACAATATAAGTTAATGAGAAATTATGCCAGTCAGGTTAAAATAACTTCCTTCAAATAGAGGGTATTTGTCTTTCTTAAGCCTTGAATAGTTTCAAATTCAATGGCATTAAATATTAAAATACCTTTTGTAACAACTAAAACATACTCATTGGTTGCCTTTTTATGAAAAGTTGGCTGGATTATTAAGAAAGAGTGGGAAGTTCTGATTTGGAGGAAGCAAACAAACCCAGCAGGCTAGTCTGTGTTTTCTTGAATACTGTAATTTCATTAGTTTTTATTCATACTTTTCTAATATGATAGAAAAAAACTATTGTAAAGCCGTCCTATTCAAGCAGAAGAATTACGTACTAACATGTTTTCTTTTGTAAACATTGATTTGATAGTAACATCTTATGATAATAGTGGTATTTCATCTATTTAATGTGGAGCACAAACTTGGAAAGCTTGCAGGGATACAGAGCTTTTGTTTTTTTTTTTTTTTTTTCTTGTGTCTGTCATAGTATCTTAAACTGAATCCAGCATAGGCCTTTCATTTTGTTTATCCACATGCGAGTCGGGCTAGCAATGTTCTTGGAGCTCTTCTACTTTGAAATCTATGTCAATGAGAACTTACTCATGGAATTTTTACATGCATGCATATGATGGCATTGACCAAATGGATTCTTAGGGCTAATCAGAAATTATCCTAGATGGTATATTGCTCTCTATTTTCAAAACAGGAAGCAGGAGTCATATTATTAACGTCCTCTGAGTGTGTTTTAGGAGGCTTTATACTTAGGTCCTATTTTTAGAGTGAGTTTTACTAATTCTTGGTTTCGAAATTACTCTGACCAGCACGTTCTTTTGGCTTGTTTTCTGGTTTAGCAAATGCCTCTTGTACTTTTTCAGATTACTAACTATTACAAGTTCGTGTACTTATGCATGCTTCACTAGGTGCTATGTACATTAATAGAAAAAAAATAATGTGACATTATCCTTGAGGGTAAAAATTAAAGCTCCGTGTAAGACTTTTGTGTAAGATTGCATTAATATGCTTTGGATTTACATGCCCACTTCTCCTGATGTAGTTTTACTTCAAGATCTTGTGTTTGCTTTCTTTTTACTATACACTACCACTGAAACAACTATTATAATGGAAAATACTACTAATATATTTCCTAGATGATAGGCTTTAGCTTATAATATATATTTATATAATTGAAGGACTGCACTATTTCAGAAGATGATACTTGCAAGCCAAACAATCCAAGAATAAAATTGTCTTTATTTGCAGTGAAGATTTCAAAACAAGACTTTACAGTTTATAAGTAATAAACTATTCCACAGTTCTAGAAAAATAACAGATTAACTCTCCAAAAATATAGTGAAGATTCACATAGGAAATTTTGAATCTGACTATTAAGTTGAATAATTGTCTCTTTTGTTTTCACATGAAAATATAAACATATTTTAAACTTGACCTAAACAATATTGGTCTCATATTTTACACTTGACCTCCACAATATAATAACTCTATCTCTCAAGGAAGGCTTCCAGTGCCCTCATTGCTTGTTTTAAGTGTGTTGTAATTATCTTACCACAACATAATATATATATATATATATATATAGATGGATACACATACAGAAATACAAGAAAAAAATCAAACACTGCTGGATTTTGAGTTCATGCCTCTCTTTACCTAAGTCCTTTCTGGGTCAGGAGGGAAGAGGAAGAAACCTTTTACCCTCTTCTAATAAAGACAAAACTCACAAGTCCAAACTGTTTTTTGGAAGATTTTTTTTTGGTGAGGTTACTCCAAAAGATATAAAAATATCCAAAATAATGAATAGATCATATATGAATGTGAAGTTAACCTCACCAAAATCCTAGCTTGTCTACTGAAGAAAGGTGTGTTTTGATTTTGCCTTGTGCTCACTCTTTCCTCTTGTTTTTCCCATCCAGATTTGTGAGTGCACTATAGCCTCAGTAAGAATTATTATAGATCCCACTGAATTTATTTATTCTTTACAAAATGACGTTTATATGAGCTTGAGCCATTCAATTTTTTCTATAACATACTAGCATAACACTGTTAAACTGGTAGATAGATTCCTTCTGTAGACGTTTAGATACAAAAAATTTTAAGAAGTACTAGAATAGAGTAGCTTCATTGGAACTAAAATCATTGACAGTAATTATACTAAGGAAACATAGTTTCCATTCAACCCAAAAATGTTAATCAATGTCATAGATGTGTGTAAGCTGTTTCCAGTTTTAAACCTCATAATACTAAGACAGCCTCAGAATTCTAATATATGAAAATTTATAAGTTAAGAGGGTGTAACACTATGTAGATTCCCCCATACCTTTTGTGTAACTGAAATATTCCAGAGATTTTTTTCATTCATCCTTGTGGCTTGTAAGGAAAAGCAGAAATATCTCTTAAATCTCAACTTAAAATACTTGATGCTGTCTTATATACAGGAGCACCTACATGTGCATTATTCACAGGCTTGGACAAAAGTCATTCTAAGCCATATATATAACATGAGTGTGTGGTGGGGTCTTTTCTCCATTAATGGATGGTATCGATGACTAATCACATTTTCTGCCTTATAGGCCTGCCTCGTCCCCCCAGCTTTCACACGATGATACTCATTCACGCATTGAACATTATGCTAGCAGGTATGAGACTAGTTGAATGCCAGGCAAATATTGACTGAAATAACTAACCAAGGAAAGCTAACCTATAATAATTTTAAACAAATATTTTCTTTTTTCCTCAATCATTTCTGATTTCTACTAATCAACTTGCCCTCTAACGTGCATGCCATTCTACTGCATGTAGGTTTTGGATACCAACAATAGCATGGGTCCAGAACAGTCTTATTTTACCCTGGCCTTTCAACATTTCTGGTAGCTTTGTTGGGTTTAAATTCTGTACACATTTGCTAAATTGGCTTGTAAGTCCTCTAACCTCCTAAAGAATACTACTAGATTAGATATTAATCTGTGGAGAAATGATACTGTGTTACCTAAACAAGGTGAAAGCACTGGCCTTTTATTTGTGTTTCATTTACTTGATGTACTTTAAGAAAATAACAACTTTCTTAACTCTTGGACCTTTCTGTACCACTTTCTTTGTATTTGAGATAACTTTTATTCCTAAACACTGAACTATTATATCTTGTGCTTGTTAAATAAGTCTATTCAACTTTTCCTGATTTTCAAAAGACTTATTATTAAATTGGTGACAGAACACAGAGAACACTTACGGTGAATCCATCCTTTATCAGCATCCCGACTACTGGACATGCTCATCTGTTGTGGCAAGCATTAACTAGCTATATACATCTATCATCAGTGAAAGGCATTAATTGTCTTAAAAGACGAGGGGTAGTGTAAGGTGTGCATTTTCTCTTAGGGAAGATTTTCTTCAGAAAAGAAAGACTGGTTCTCAGTGAAAGGAAGATTGATCTGGGGCAAAAATCCCAAACAAAACAGCAAAAGAAAATACAGCTTCCCATAGTTTTTACATTAAAAGGGCAAAGCTACTAACTAGCTGCTTCAACTGGTTAAACACACACACATCCTTTAACTTGAAGGATTCCTTTTTCTTTAGTATTCAGGAATGTTCTCTAGGTCTTGAATAGATTCTAAGAAGTCACATAAGTTTTAATGAGCTTTTACGTTTTTTATCAGGCTAGCAGAAATGGAAAACAGCAATGGATCTTATCTAAATGATAGCATCTCTCCTAATGAGAGCATGTAAGTATCCCATCTCTTTTTACAAAATGTTCCTGACGATTAAATGCTTGGAGGGATTCAGAGGTAGGATAGTATAGGATATAGGAATTAGCATCATATTCATTTGATCTTTCAAAGAGCCATTCATTGACTTTTTTTCTTCAGTTCTTAAAACCTGGCACAGAATGAGCTCATACAAATACACGCATTAATTCAGAATAGCAAAAATTGCTTTACATACATTTATTTAATGTCATATGATCAAAAATTGCTGATTCCAAACACTTATATCAAAGACTAATCTTTGACTACACTGGAATAAGGAATAAAATGGCATTTGAAAGTAATAACTAAGTAGGATTTCCTCCACTCACAGGAAGCAGAAATGTGATCTTGATATTGCTATTCCCATATACTAAGTTAGGTTGGCATTTTCTTCATTTGGGTTGTTGTGGTTTCATCATTTGGTAAGGCAGCCTTGTGAAGTGTTCCCAGATGAGAAAATACAAATGCAGGTCTCATTTTTTCAGTGAGATGATGAGCCAGCTTGGTCAAACTTTAAGAAGGAGATGTATATCTGTTACAAATGGCCAACAACACACTTGGCTCCAAAACAGAGCATCATCAACAGGGTAGGGCAGTGTTCACAGTAAAGAACACAGAGAAATATTACCATGATCCAAGTAGATATTGATTAGGGGGGAAGAGAAGTGAGGGTATCGTGGAAATACAAGACCCACAAACTGAATAAATAACATGGAGAGAAGAAATATAGTCAAAGTGCAGTGATGCTTTTAGTTTGATAAGATAGTGGTTTAACATCTTCTCTTGGAAAATAGGCAAATGGAAGCATGATAAAGTTATCCTATGTAGTTTGGGAACCCAATGTCTTGATCAGATGAGAAAGGGACATTCCTAACGATTAAACCAAAGGAAATTGTATGAAAGTGGGATTTCTATATAATTATTGAATTTGTAGTAAGATAGAAGTCAACACCCAGTCATTTACTTCAAACCAATACCCCTTTCCCAATTAAAATTGTGATGCCATTATGTGGTCTTCCAACAGGAAAATGAATAGCTAAAGAACCATCTTAATATAAACGTTTAAATGATTTGCTTATTTGGCTTCCTCATTTTATATTAAAGATGTTCTACTCCTTTCACATTGATTTAGATTGTATCCATATGACAGCCTCTAGCAGTCATAGAACTGCCAAAGACAAAAGGAAGAAAACTAAACTACAATTATAGGTTACACTTAAATGTGGGAAGTTCTAGCAATAAAATTTCAGAATTTGAGGAGGGTAGTAATAAATTAGCTATTTAATAAAGCCATGATTGTTTTATTTTACAACAAAATTCAGCTTTAGCTCATTCTGAGGACACGCAATCCATTTTCACTCTGTTGTTTAGCAAAATCTCATGTTATTTAGGAAGTTTTGATGAATCAGCTGATTTCATTTAAATGTTTCTTTTTAGTGTCAATAATAGCCATAATATTCATTATCATTACTTTTGTGATGATAAGGATATATCTCAGGACTTTATGCATGCTAGGCAAGTCTCTGCCATGTATCCCAACCCTCCAATAATTAATCAAAACATCTCCACCACTTATCTGATTTCATGGACCAAAACTGGAATCCATGAGAACATTTTCCTAAAGACCTGATATTTTAAAACTGAAAACTAGGTAGATATGGCATGCTGGGCATGAAGACACATGCCTGCAATACTAGCAATCAGGAGGCTGAGACCAAAGGGTTGCAATTTTAAGGCCTGGGCTATACAGAAATTCCCTCTTGAAAAACAAAATTAAGTGGGTATGCAAAAGGTAGTATACACACATCATCTTAATGATATGTAACCAGAAGCAAAGAGCTTTAGTGTCTCATTAAGAAGAAAATGTAGTTCCTAGATCTTGGAGGTAAAATGGAGGTTTCAAAAACTTAGAGCACTTCGTTCTTAAGGTAATATCTCCTGAGTGTTACTAGAAAGTTCCTTCTTTCCAGGAGACTGCAGCTGCCTCTCAGAATATGCTATTCCCCCCTACCCCCCAATAAAAAAATGCTTAAGATTCAGTCTGAGGAATGAGTTGTTCTTATCTTTTAATCAGTCACCTTAATGTCTCCACCCCCCGCAATTTTTGTGTTTATATCTAAACAGTAATTAAAACAACCACTTATCCACAGGTTAATTATTGTTATCATCCCACCTCTGAGACCTATACGTTAAAATTAGCTGGCTGAAGCAGCACTTTCCAGTTTTTACCTTCCTCTGAAGATGTTATTTACTATTATAAGAATTGTGTTTCCCTCCTCCCCAACCCAGTCAGTGTCATTAGCATGGCTAATGGACAGATTATCTTGATAGGCTTAGTAGCAAAAGCATTAAATGGCCATTGCTTTTTTATTTTTTGTTTTTGTTTTTCGAGACAGGGTTTCTCTGTGTAGCTTTGGAGCCTATCCAGGCACTTGCTCTGGAGACCAGGCTGGCCTCGAACTCACAGAGATCCACCTGCCTCTGCCTCCCGAGTGCTGAGATTAAAGGCGTGCACCACCAACGCCCAGCAGCCATTGCTTTTTAAAAATAATTATTAGCTAATAAAAGGCTAAACTTAATATAGACTCCCAGTATTTCTTTCATTTAGCTGTGTAAATAGGCCAGTAAGTTTCACGTGGATTTTTTAAAAATAAACACTTTAAACTGTCCATCAATAGAGTGGTAGAGCAAGCACACCCTCTATAGTACCTAAATATCTTTAGAATAGGGAACGAAGTGTCTAATTGTTGAGAGCAAAGAAATGTTTCTATTTTCAAATACACACCTGAGTCCCTGACCCCAAAACAAAATAAGGGGGGTGGAAAAACCAAAACCTTTGATTTTATTTTCCAGAGATGATGAACATTTGTTAATCCAGCATTACTGCCAAAGTTTGAACCAGGACTCCCCCCTGAGCCAGCCTCGTAGTCCTGCCCAGATCTTGATTTCCTTAGAGAGTGAGGAAAGAGGGGAGCTAGAGAGAATCCTAGCAGATCTTGAGGAAGAAAACAGGTGAGTTTTCTTTGTAGCTTTGTCATTGGTAAGCAGAGCGCATACACTTGCACCCAGGGAAAAGTGCCAGGGATCTTCACTCAGTCATTCGATGTCTAACTGTTTGCTAAAATAATCTGTTTAGCTCCTTTTGCAGATTCACTTCTTTTTGTCTGAAAGAAGAAAATGAGTGCCATATAGCATGATTAATAACTCCTAATTTAGGTGTGAGGGGGTTAATGCTAATGGGAGAATTGGGTTTGTTGCATGTGCTCCTTAGGTTTTGCTGTATTTGTATTTGAGAATAGAATTTAAGAGAAAAAAGCAAGCAATTTAATTCATGGTGATATAAATTTTACATATGTTTAGCCATATTACCATAAACATCTAAGGAAGTAGATTCATTGGCTTTGTCATATTTAGGAACAGTATTTCCCCTTATTTTTCATCATCAAGTACAGAAGTTACTGCTTTTGTTCATCTTTATAGCAGATTAGTTAAACAATTCCATGTTAGCCATTACCTTTTTAAAAAATTGCAATTGTCGAAAGAGAAATTGTTGAAAAAGGAAAAGTCAAAAGAAAATGTATGAAGACCAGAGCAGTTAAACTGCAAGAATCTGCAGTATTGTGTGGTGTCAGGATAATACAAGTCACTGGTCTCTTTCTTTTGTTTTACATTTACGATGTCACAGGTACTTTGGTTAAGGGAACCTTTTCACATAATCCCCTGTATCACAGTGTGGCCTTCTACAGACAGTGGCAGCAGGCAAGTCTATAGAGGCCAGACTGCTCAAATTTGAAGCACTTAAGGACCTTCATCTCTTTTCGTTAGCCCAAGGCAGCAAGACCTCTTAATCTTGACAACATATGGTGTTTGAGAACCAGTGCCCTGAGGGAGAATGTCACCTCAGCATGAAAAAGCAGAGTGCCATTCATCTCCTCCATTCTGCTGCTACTACTAGCCTTTCAGCTCTTAATACCCCTGACCTCTGGTCATAGCTCTTTATCAAGTTGGCTTCCCTTGAGTTCCTTGCCTGTTTTTCCAATAAATCCTCTATGCTGACGAGTTTTGTATCTTTCCAGAACCAAGACCTATCATGGCATTCTGACATAACTGGATTTCTGTATCTTGAAAGAATGTTTCTCAGTAGGGCATTCAAGCCTTCCACTGTTTTCTCTTAACTTGTTTTTGTCAACTTCACCTTCTTCTGTACTGACCAGGCTGTTGTAGCCAGTATTTTAATTTGTTTTCATCTACTTTATGGATCATGTTCAAGCTTGCTCTCAGCCTATATCACTTTAATTTTGCCCAGAGAACTCCTTGACAGTTTGCACTTTTATCCATTACTGTCTATACCCCCTTCAAATGAGTCCTGGCCATTCCATGATCAACGTCTTGTTCCTGTAGTAGTACCTACCACAGTGATAATATTTCACTTTTCTCAAAGTG